TGCCGCGCTCCCCGAGCCCCGCCCCGGCCCACAAGGCCCCACTCACACGCGCCGCTCCACGGGAGGCCCCGCCCCTGCAACTAGGCCCCGCCCCGACAACCAGGTCTCGTCCAGTCCCAGCTACCTTCTGTGAAACCCCGCCCCCGACCTCCTCGCCCCGCCCAACCGACGGTACGGGACGGGAGCCTCACGCCCGGGGGTTGCGCCCTTCAGAGTCTCCATCCAGTTCCTCAGCCCCTGTGAGGTGGCCGTCCTGGGCACCGCCCCTCACACCTATGAGGCACCTCCCCATTCGGAGGCCAAGGACTTGCAACCTCTGGATAGTTTCTCAACGGGCGCTTGTGAGTAGAAAGCGGGGGTCCCCTCTGGCATCACCTCCCCACAACCACTCTGGCCCCAGATCCACCCCCACATGGGCGCGGGGAGGGGACGTGCTGCCAGTCAGAGGGCCGACCTGGGAATGGGAGCCACCTTGCCCCAATGCTTCCGTCATTAATTCCGGCTCCACACGTTGACCACATGCCCTCAACGGCTGGCATTGAGCACAGAGCCCCATAAGGAAAACGAGGATAGTTGTTAACGGCTAGAGGGAAGGCTTCCACAGGGGCCATCTGAGCTGACCCCTGGCTGGCCTGGGAAGTGGGGACCCAGAGAAGGAATGCCGGAACCCAGAGAGAGGGAACCCCAGAGCAGTGGAGACAGTGGCTAGCAATGCAAAGACCCTGAGGTGGGAGCAGCATGGGTGGTGGTGGTCTGGAGGGCAGTGCTGAGTGATCCACCTCAGTTATGCATGGGAAAGTGCTGACCTGGTGCCTCAGGCCACTGACACCCGAGTGCGTGTGTCCAGGAGCCCCAGGCCCTAGAAGAGGCTGTCCTGAGGGTGACTGTGAAAGGTCTGGTCACTGGGGAGACATATCTCCCCCCCCCCCCATGCCCTCCCTGCCCCCAGCTGCTGGCCTTCTGCCCCACCCCCCAGCCCTTCCCACCTCCTTTCACGTTCTCTTGGGCTCCTCCCACTCATTGCAAGGTTTGTTATGAAAACTCTTCCTTCCACAGCCCCCCACTCCCCTCTCTTTCTGTCTGGGAAAGGAGAGTACCTACCAGAAGAGATTCTCCTGGGAGGAAAAGAGTCCCAGAAAATTATGCAGGACACAGCATGTGTCTTACTGTACTCTTGTACTCTTCTGTCCAGTCACGGAGCCCACTCCAGCTCACATGCTGGTGAGACCCTTAGGCCCCTGTGAACCCTTTCCTGCCCCGCCCCCCACCAAAATTCATTTAGGAAGAGCTGGGGTCTCTGTGCTTGAAACAAATACATAAAGTGTTAGCTATGGCTCTTGCTTTGCTCAATGGGTCTCTGAAACAGGAGTGTTTGGTGAAGACCTGGTCAGAGAGGTCCTCAGGCCTCCCTCTGAGGTTCTGGAGCTCTGCAGAATGGCGCAGGAAGCTTTCCCAGGTCCCACGCTCCACTGTCCTATTCATTCCCAGGTGGGCTGGCCCTTCCTGGAGAGGGCAGAGGGTGTGCCTTAGCCAGCCTCCCCATCGGAGTCTCCTGATGTAGCTCTGGCCCTTGACCATTCTTGTATTGGCTATTGAAAAGAGGGCTTACTCTCACCTCAAGTTTAAAAAGTCCCAGCGACTCACCTCTCTGTGCTTGCTAGTGGTGTGCTTTTTGTGTACACAGCATTGCTGCTATGTACCTAGGGTGCATAAGAGGGCTTCTGGTGGGAGGCTGAGCCTCGGCATGGTGTAGCCAGTGGAAAGTTTCATGCCTTTGCCATCCAGCACCAGGGCCACAGCCACAGGGCTCTTTGAGCACTTGAAACATGGCTAGTGCAACAATATGTGGCATTTTAGGTAATGTTATGCTGTTAGATGCTGTCAATTTCCAGCCAGTTGGTTCCAGCTCAGGTTGGTCCCTTGTGTACAACAGAACAGAACCCTTCCTGGTCCTGCACCATCCTCACAATCATGGGCACATGTGGTTGCTTCGTTGATTGTGATGTTGCTTATTGGTCCAGCTGAGCCCTTTTTTGCAACTGATATGCTAATCCATCTCATTGAGTGTCTTCTCTTTCACTGACCCTCTAATAAGCATGATGTCCTTTTCCAGGGACTGATCTCTCCTGACAACCTACAAACTACGTGACACGGAGTCTCCCCACCCTCCCTCCTCCTCAAGAGTGTCTGGGCTGCATTTCCTCTACTACAAATGTATTCATGCCTTTCGCAGTCCATGATCTATTCACTATTGTCCACCAACACTGTGATTTAAGGGATCAATTCTTTTTTTTTGATCTCCCTTGTCTATTGTCCAGCTTTTCCACAAGTACATGAGGAGATTGAAAATACCTTAGTTTGGGTCCGCCACACCTTAGATTTCAAAGTATTATCTTTACTTTTGTGCAATAGATTTTTTTTACATCATTTTATTGGGGGCTCGCACAACACTTATCACAATCCATCCATCCATCCATTGTGTCAAGCACATTTGTACATTTGTTGCAGTTGTCACTCTCAAAACATTTCTTTCTACTTGAGCCCTTGGTATCAATCAGCTCCTCATTTTCCCCCTCCTTTCCCGCTCCCCTCCCTCACGAGCCCTTGATAATTTATACATTATTATTATTTTTGTCATGTCTCATACTGTCCGACATCTCCCTTCACCCACTGTTCTGTTGTCCATCCCCCAAGGAGGAGGTTATATGTAGATCCTTGTGATCAGTTCCCCCTCTCTACCCCACCTTCCCTCCACCCTCCCGGTATCGCCACTCTCACCACTGGTCCTGAGGAGTTCATCTGTCCTGGATTCCCTGTGTGTTTCCAGTTCCTATCTGTACCAATGTACATCCTCTGGTCTAGTCGGGTTTGTAAGGAAGAATTAGGATCGTGATAGTGGGGGTAGGGTGGGGAGAAAGTATTAAAGAACTAGAGGAAAGTTGTACGTTTCATCGTTGCTGTACTGCACCCTGACTGGCTCGTCTGTCTCCTCCCTGTGCAGTAGATTAGCCTAATGCAACGTGTTTGATTTCCTGACAGCTGCTTCCATGAGCTTCTGTTGTGGATCTAAGTAAACTGAAATTCTTGATAACTTCAGTGTTGCTTCATTTATTGTGATGTTGCTGATTGGTCCAGTTTTGAGGATTTTTGTCTTCGAGTGTGTATGTGTGTGTGTTGGGGTGTAATACATACTGAAGACTGTAGTCTTTGATCTTTATCAGTAAGTGCTTCAAGTTCTCTTTGATTTCAGAAGGTAAAGGTGTGTCATTTTATATACAAGTTATCACTTAAGTCTAGAACTAAGAGCCCGTGGTCGCACTATAGCCAGGGTAGTTCTGGAACCAGATCGTCTGGGTTCTAATTAGACCACTGTCTCTGTGCCTTAGTTTCCCCATCTATGAAATGGGCGTGGTGATGATCATAATGCTTCCTCACAGGTATTTTGAAGGTGAAACCTATGACTATTTTGAACTCAGTGGTTCTCGAGCGCTGGTAGACTCCAGGACCACGAGGGGAGGGCCATGCTAGACTCACCCCAGAGTTTCTGATTCACTGGGTCTGAGAGCTTGTGTCTTTAACAAGCCCCTTGCCAGGGCTGCTGTTCCACACAGAGAATCCAGTGCCCAGCTTTTCCCCTCCTTGGAAGGGTGACAAGTGAGTGTCTGTAGTTAACATTAACGCCTGGGGTCCTGCCCCATCATCAGAGTCCGAGAACTCACTCAGTGTCCTAACCTTTGTGCATGACAGGGTCCGTGTCTGCCCTATCTCTGCAGTCTAAGGAGTTCCCAGCAGCTTCTCTCCCCACCCCTCCCCGGGGCTTGGCACCGGGCTTCCTAGTGCCCGAGTCCCACCCAGCTCCCACGACAGGCTCAGCGCCTGGTCCCTTACCCCCTGGGCTTGGCACCGGACTTCCTAGTGCCTGAGTCCCACCCAGCTCCCATGACAGGCTCAGTGCCTGGTCCTTTACCCCCTGGGCTTGGCACATGGCCTCCCAGTACCCAGGTCCCTCCTGTAGCTGTATTACACTTACCTGTTAGGACCTGTCCTTCTCTGGTCACCTGGTAGAGAGGGGATGATGGTGGAATGGGACCCCCTGCATATGTGGGCCCTGTTGGCAGAGATGTCCCCA